GCACAACTGCACAAGATCTGATAGTAACATTTCCCATCCCATGAACCCAATTCAAGCCCTATTTCACAATATCAATTTTTTCCATCCTAATTCATCCAAATCAAGCCCTGATTTGCAACCAAATCCAACTAATCAGTACTTGAATTTCTTTATCACTCCATACTCGGCCATTAAATCCGCCAGCTTAAGTTTCACAAATGGTTTCTGGAACAACAAAACCTGAACAAGCTTATGCGCCCTCAATTTTTCAATCCAACTATATCATCATCCCCTCTTTCCAATAGTAATCACTCTTGCTCCTCCAATTCAACTTCTTAAAGCACCACCGCCCCAACCCAAACCCTAACAACATCCACACCTTGGCACCAAAAACACCCATTGCAATTCTAATTGCAAGATTTTTATTGCTCAAACCACCACACTCCCCAAGTGGATTCCCAGTAACATCCCACGGATCAAAATCTTCAAAATTCATCGAAATTGTGCTAGAAAGATCATTGTTTGCAACAGAAAACTTCTTAAGTCAGCCCAAATTCGATAATTAGTGAGGTATAGTACCAGATAGTTTATTGTCAGACAATATTAGATTATTTAAATGGAAATATAGTTGAATAATCTGAAAATTTTCATGAGATTGTTGTTGATTAGAGGTGTAAGATTGGTTTTGTTTTATTAGGACTTAGGGTTTAAAAATTCAAATTTGTGTGTGTGCTTGTATGAATGAAATTTAATTATCAAAATTCAGACATATAATGCAATGCATCATTGTTCTTTCACAGTCAATCCAAGCCATTTCATTCAGACATATATGTTTGAATTTTTATTTCATTCACTGTTACTAATACACTCTTGATGTTAAAATCTTGTTACATTGAATTTTAATAACCCATTTCTGGTTATTAAACCCCTACAACATCTATTTTTCCTTAATCAACTTCTTGGCTTTGAACTATGGGTGTCGAAAAGTTTCCATGAATCCTAGTTGCGAATAGATGAGAGGGAAACTATATTACTCCGTAATTAAGAGTATTTTAATATAATGGGTAAAATTAATATTCACATTATAATATAATTAATAATTGATTAACATTAATATTATAAATGATTTGTCCCTTATAACTAAACCCAAGCTATTAATGTGAGAGGGAGGGAGCAAGGTTTTTTTGATCATTTGACAACAAAGGGCAGTTTTGGTATTCTTGTCTTTTCAATAGACGCGTGACTTTATACATGTCGGAAAAGCTAATCAGTGAGTTTCAAGAGTATTTGCAACTTTTTATATTTCAGGGAGTATTTGCAATAGAAGGGTATTAAACCCCCCTCAACTATACCCCAAATGCAACAAACCCCCCCCCCCCCCCCCCCTCTAATTATGAATTTGGTTTAGTTTTAGGAAAGAGAAAATTATTCCAACTCTTTTCATTACCGAAAATTAGAAAAGACATTTTTACCCCTTAAATAAAAAAGGTGTGGTTGAACATTCATCTGTAAATATAAAATTGGTTAAATGATGTGGGACCAATGTAATAAGAAGAGCCACTAAAATGTGGACACCTATGCAACTTACCATTGACCCATTATCTCTTTCCCTTAACCAAACCACCACCATTGTTTTTTCTTAGTTCTTTCCCAGCAACAAAATCCAGTGTGTATACATATAAGTAAATGTATATGCATTGTACAGACTACACTCTATTTGTATTGATCCATGATTGATCTCCTTAATCCATTTGAACCAGCAAAAAATGCCCTCATTAATCCATTTGAAATCAAAGTCACAATTTCATGGGTCTCTTCAGAAATTAGCCGCGCCAAGTTTGGAGCCATAATGTAATCAAAGTCTCTGAGAAATTGGAATATGATAATCTACTTTGCGGACCTTAAAACAACATCAAGAAATTCAAAATCAAGAAACACAGAGTAACTCTGTTATGTATATATGTGTGTGTATATATATATCTAAGAGGAAGATACCAATTGTCCATATACTTGTAGTTTGATGGGTTTGGCAATAACTAGACGCAGCAAAGACCAAGTCAGCAACCAGATGCAGCAAATGCAAAAAATGGTGCTCCATTTGAAGTAGTTGATCTCAATGCAGAGATGAATATATTGCGAGCCTTGAAGATTTAATGTGGAGCTTCATGGATTTATATACAGAAAAAGGAAACCCATCGGCAGCTATAGCGTTCAAACCGGAAAACTTTAGTTAGTGACAAACCGGCCGGAGAAGCATTGCGATTCAGCTACCCAAACAACCGGAGAATCTTCATTCGTGAAAAAAAGGTGAGACCTAGAAAGTTGTAGCAACCAAATTAAGGAAACTCACCTATACACCACCGGCGAAGATACAGAGCTTCAGTTATTTACAAAGGGTGAGAGTTTAGAGCTCCAGACTGACCCAATGAATACCATTTCGACCAGAGTTGCATTGAAGATAGGGAAAAGCTCCGACCTAATTACTCCATTGATTCCGGCGAATCTTAGACCAAATTCCAGTATGTTCCAGATTACAATAACAGAACTCAATCTCAAAAACCGGTGAGCTCCGGTCAGACCATTAACTGAGAGGGTTTCAGTGAGAGCTTCAGCGAAGACTAAAAGAAACACGTCTCTGCAATTGTTTTTTTTCAGACGACGCTTCCTCTTAAAATTCTTGAACGCACAACCCTCCATAATTTTTGAACTATATATATATATATATAACTATCACTCGAGCGAGATTGAGGAAAAAATAATGAGGGATTTTTGGGATGACAAGGCTTGTTTGGTAGGGTTTTGGGTCAAGTAATAGAAGGGTGTTATGGTCTTTTAACCTTCATAAGGGTGGTATAGTCATTTAATTAAATTTTAGTCGTCACGTGACAAACATGTTATCAAAATCAGCCGAATCACCAGAGTGGGTAAACAGCAACTAAAATGCAAAGTCCAGGGGTTATTTGCTTTTATAATTGAGGGGGTTCTTTGTTAAAAGAGTAATAATTGAGGGGAGTTTATTACAGTTTATCATAAAAATGGATAATTCAGAGAATTTTTTTGCATTTTTACCTAAATTATACTACTATAAAATGGAATATTTCGTACTATACTTTTTCTTTAGCCCACTTTTTTTAAGCAAATATCATTTCACAAATACAAATCTCTCTCTCTACCGACTCTTTATATATACCCCTTTATATATATGTACGAAATATTCCAAACTGTCCAATCCTTCGCTAAAGCAGATTGTACCACCAGACTTGTAAATTGAGTCCTGCGGCTGCTTCCACCTTAAGCAAGCTAGCCAGGTGTCTATATTTCGAAAAAAAAGCTAGCCAGGTCTATGTTCAAGTCCCTCTATCACCCAAAAAAAAAAAAAAAGCCCTGTTATAACCGTGTGTGTCTTTGTGAGAGAGAAAGAAAGTTAGAGCGAGAGATGGGGGCAGAGGATGTGATGAACTATGTGTTGGAGAAACTGAAGGAATTGCTGTTGGTGATAGAGAACTTTGGTGGGTATTTGCTAGGGAAGTTTGAGGAGTTGTTTCCACCAGAGACAAGGGGAGAGCAATTCCACCACTGGATCAAAGTCGGCGCACCTTTTCTCATCGCTGCGGTGGTTCTGCTCATGTGCTTCTGCTGCTGCCGCTGCTGCTGCCGTGGACGGCCGGTTAGGATGATGAAAGCTCCGGGGAGGAGCTATAGGATGCCTAGGCATGTCTTTGAGAGCAACCCCAGATCTTATTTTCGAGATCTCAGGGGCAGAGATGTACTTGTCTAACTTTTCAATCTTGGGTTTAGGGTTAATCTTGAATTGATCATCTGGATCTCTCCATTACAGGAAAGGATTGGTGTTCTACAATCTTTTAAGTTTGTGTTTGATGTGTGTCTTTTATTATTAATCTTGTGTTCATGTGTATCTTTTATTATTAATCTTGTGTTCATGTGTGTCTGGTTGTTGTCAAAAAGAAGATGGCACAAGTTGTTTAAATATTTGTAAGATTGAAAGTTCAAGGGATTTTCTGACTATGATTTTAATTTTTTTAATATTTTTTACCCTTGCTCATATATTCCATTTCTTTTGGTAGAGTAAGAACTAAATCTACACAATGTCTATGTCTAAATCATCAATATGATTGGAAATGTACTCAGCTTTGATGCTTTATAGGCAACATCTTCTGAGATATTTTACTCACTATTGGAAACTTGTGATAAAATCAAGAAAATGCAGACAAAATAGTCTCACTCAATAGCATGAAATGGGACCATAGGCTGCTACATAGTCTTTGTATGTGGATTTTGTACCATCAGGGAAGATCTATATCGGGCCGGACTGGTTCATAGAGGTTTGGACGGTATCGGTATAACCGATTGGTTCATAGAGGTTTAGACATGTTTGGACGGTATCGGTATAACCGATTGGTTCATAGAGGTTTAGACGGTATCGGTGTAATGGGTACGAACCGGACTGCTTCATAGAGGTTTGGACGGTATCGGGGTAATGGTTACGAACTGGACTCACGAATATGATGAACCATGGGAAGACCCAACTCTTTTCTTTTCTTTTTTTTCTTTTTTTTTTTTTTTTCAGCATACAAGTTAGATTTGAGCTTCAAAATTTAATTTCAACACTATTTAGTGTTGGATAATCATTCTTAGATCCAATAGAAAACCTCGTAGGAGAAAATCGCCCTATTCGATTAGACTATAAAGTGTGAATAACATTTTTTAAATCAAATACACCCTTACATAAATTTATTTGTGATGCATTTTCATGATTTCTTGATTCTGTCTTTATTGTTCCAATCCCGTAAAATCCCATTCACTCTTCATCTGAGTTTTGGAAAATCTTTCTCAATAACTGGTTTCAAAATTCAAACCACTAAATATGCAATTAATTTCTATTTTTTATTTATTTTATTATTATTATTATTTTTACCTCTTACTCTTGTCTACAGGATATTCCACTTATCTGCAATGAAATCCTGCACCTATATTGGTTTAAATAACAACTTAATCTACACAATGTCTTTGTCTAAACCATCAAAGTTGCATTACTTTATAAATAATCATATTTTGATCATGATCATATATACATTTGACCCCACAACAAACTCATATATTAACAAACTGTGTTCTCCACCTTATTCATATACATATTGCCGCCGACTCTTGTTTACACTCAGAAAGGTTGGAGGATGACTTGAACTCCATTTTTGGGGATCATAATGAATATATCAGCTGGGTTATGAACATAATTTGGTGAAAGGGTGAACTTGTATCGCTGCAAAATCATCGAAAGTGTGATCTTTGCTTCGTTGGTTGCAAAATTCAATCCCACACAAGTTCGGGGTCCCAAACCAAATGGGGAAAATGCCACCGCGTTGTTGTTGGTGGCTTTAGCAACCCCTTCCATGAATCTCTCTGGTTTGAATTGGTGAACATCTTTGCCCCATATTTCAGGGTTATGGTGAAGTGCTATAATCGAAATGAAAATGTCGATATTAGCTGGAAGAGTGAGGTTCCCCAATTTGATTTCTCTCTGAACTTTCCTTGTCATGGTCATCGCCGGTGGATATAGTCTTAGACACTCATTAATGATCATGTTCATCTACATTCAAAAAAGAGTGACAAATATTAAATTAAATCTGTGAGCAAATAAGATAATGTTAATTGATCAGAGACTGATTTTGCTTACAGTTCTTAGTCTTGCAATGCCATCTGAAGTAGGATTCTTTGTTCCAAACAACTCAAGCACCTCCTTCCTTGCTTTCTCTTGCCATTCTGTATGCACTGCTAGAAGAAGAACACTCCACCCAAGCAAGGTTTTCGTCGTCAGATGTCCTGCACCGTAAATTGCCTTGATCTCCTCTACCATTTGTTCCAGCGTAACCCTCTTGTTTATATCCGATTCATGAGCCATTTTTACAAGTTGTCCAAGATAATCGCTCCCATAGTCGTCTATTTCTCCATTCTTCACTTTCTCCCTTTTCTCTACAAGCTCCAGAATGGAATTTCTTATTCCTCGTTGAAGTTTCTCTGCTTCAATCTCATCACTGTTTTTTAGTATTCGGCTGCAAAAATGAAAGGATGACCGACAAAGTGAGGATAAGAAGAACAATCCACCAATCTTCTAGTGAAGAGAAACAATCATATATCAAAGAATAACACCTTATGCCAGGGAATCTAATGTTATAAATATTTTTAACAGTTAGAGAAGTGAGCTTTGCCATCATATCAAATATGTGCTTCCCATCCAAGTAACTATTCCCAAAAGCTGTCCTGGAAATCACTTCAGTTGTTAATACCCCGAATTCTCTGAACACGTCGATTTCTTTCCCTTCGTAATTTTTCCACATTTCTAGCATCGCCTCAACGCTTTCACTCATTGCTGGAATCATACTCTGCTTACATATCACCCCTTGTTATTATTATCAGCACAAGTTCAAGCAGATTAGTTCTGGCAATAAACAGCAGTCTGAAAGCTTACTTTCAAGCTCTCGGCATGGAATGTGTGATTGGCCAGTTTCCGTACCTTCTCCCATTTCTCGCCTTCATTTGTCATAAGCGCTTCTCCTAACAGCTTCTTTGCAAAGCCATCCAAGTCCATTTTTGGATAAGCACCTTCTTTGTCGTTCAGTATTTCTTTGATAAGCTCTGATTCCGTGACAAACAGTTGGGCTTTTGAACCATGCCAGTTAAGAAAATTCATCCCTATAAATCAATTGAAGATGTGAAGTTAAAAGTAAGTGAAAATATTGCAGCCCTTCAAAATTTGTAAAAAAAATCCTTACCATAGATTTTTGTCCATGCATAAACATGAGGCTGAATTCTTGGAAATATATCGTGTGATATATCCATAGGTTTGGCCATGGATTGGCTTCTCATGTTGATGATGTCTTTGGTGCTCCCATGGGGGAACTTGTAACGCGGTCCTTTGATCCCCTGTGAGCTCAGCATGTTCTGTATGCGAATTGGTTTCCACCATACTTTGTGAAGGAAACTTATGAGATTCCAGAGAAGGTAGAGACACAGAGAGGTTGAAAAGAGGATTATAAAAGTTTCCATTACAACCATACTTCATCAATTATGAACTCTATATGCATTCCCAACCCCATTACCTCATATATATATATATATATATAACCTTCAAATGATCAATCAATAATGGAACCTAGACATATTACAACCATACTTCATCAATTATGAACTCTATATGCATTCCCAACCCCATTACCTCATATATATATATATAACCTTCAAATGATCAATCAATAATGGAACCTAGACATAATTAATTGTCCTCTATATATATATAGAGAGAGAGGACAATTATATATAGAGGAGAATTAAGTATGTCTAGGTTCCATTATTGATTGATCATTTGATATATAGAGGACAATTAAGTATGTCTAGGTTCCATTATTGGTTGATCATTTGAAGGTTTGTGAGCTAATATTGACTTGTTAAATACACCGACAACCAAATATAAAATGGCGATACTTTTGCTGAATGGAACTGCTCTCCTGTCAAGGTTGGCTTCATGTTAGGATTTCATTTTCAGCATGATGATCTAATGGCTTGTCATAGCTACTGAGAGACCGACACTACAATACGTAGTGCAGAGAAGTAGATTTTGATACCACATAATATGTATGAAGAAGATCGACGTACCAAAATTATTAAAAGGAGAAGCATTACACAAGTATGAGGCACATTCCATCACTTTCTGCAAAACCCACTATTCTCAAACTGAAACAGTGATGTATAATTCATCAAGAAAGCTTTAACAAAATAAACACATGAGCTGAGAACGTTGACATTTACAATATGTTCCCTCCACTTCACTCCTCCATTCACAATAAGCATGAGCAATCAACAATAGCACAAGCCAGAACTTGCCATGCGCAATCAACAAAATTCTTGTAACTGATAGTTGTAGAATTGTTTTTCCTATTTCAATGTTGTTACTATGTTCTTATTTACTGACAGGATTGCATTCTGTTCTTACTAGGAACCAATAATGAGCCTTCTAAAAGCCCAAAAAAAAAAAACTGTCAAATTATGTACAAATTATGAATAAACTTTTGCAGTGCAATTAATGTTGTGAACAATTTGGAAAGGAATTGTTCAAAGATAAAACTGTTACATATACCAACTGGCTTGTGATCTAGTGGTATAAGGCTCCTACTTCGGGAAGTCAAGGGTTTGAACCTCAGTGGAGGCAGTGTATGTGAGTCCCAACTAAGAAGAAGAAGAAAAAAAATAAATAAATACCCGTTACAGATGAAAATATATATGATTTCGAAATCAACCATGTCTTTGTCTAAACCAACATTTTCTGAGATATTTACTCACCATTGTAAACTTAGGATAAAATCAAGAAAATGCAGACAAAATAGTCTAACTCATGCCCTGTGAATTCATGGGGCCATAGGCTGCGCCGTACACTTCTTTTTTCTTTTTCTTTTTTTAAACCTGCCAAGGATAAGGGAAAAACATTAAGGATTAGGGTTAACATCATGCAAATAATATCAGATCAGGATCTACATTAAACTTGCATTATTTATAAATAATTATATTTTGATCATGACTTTCAACATCCAAATTATTACACTCTCAATATACACATATCATATACACAGTTGACCCCCAAAGCAAACTTATATTAACAAACAGTGTTCTCCACCATATTTATTCATGTACATGTTGCTGACTCTTCTTTACGCTCAGATAGGTTGGAGGATGACCTGAACTCCATTTTTGGGGGTGAGAATGAATATATCAGCTGGGTAATGAACATAATTTGGTGAGAGGGTGAACTTGTAACGCTGCAAAATCATCGAAAGTGCAATCTTTGCTTCATTGGTTGTAAAGTTCAATCCCACACAAGTTCGAGGTCCCATACCAAATGGGAAAAATGCCACCGCGTTGTTGCTGGTAGCTTTAGCCACCCCATCCATGAATCTCTCTGGTTTGAATTGGTGAACATCTTTGCCCCATATTTCAGGGTTATGGTGAAGTGCCATAATCGAAATAAAAATGTCGATATTAGCTGGAAGATTGAGGTTCCCCAATTTGACTTCTCTCTGAACTTTCCTTGTCATGGTAAGCACTGGAGGATAAAGTCTTAGGGACTCATTAATGATCATGTTCATCTACATTCAAAAAAGTGTGACGAAAATTAAATTAATTTGTGAGCATATAAGATAATCTAAATTGGTCAGAGACTGATTTGCTTACAGTTCTTAGTCTTGCAATACCATCTGAAGTAGGATTCTTTGTTCCGAACAACTCAAGCACCTCCTTCCTTGCTTTCTCTTGCCAATCTATATGGATTGTTAGAAGAAGAACACTCCAAGCAAGCAAGTTTGTTGTCGTCAGATGTCCAGCACCATAAATTGCCTTGATCTCATCAATCATTTGTTCCAGCGTAACCCTCTTTTTTATATCAGATTCATGAGCAATTTTTACAAGTTGTCCAAGATAATCACTCCCATAGTCTTCTATTTCTCCATTCTTTGCCTTCTCTCTGCTCTTTACAAGCTCTAGAATGGATTTTTTTATTTCCCTTTCAAGTTTCTCTGCTTCAATCTCATCGCTGTTTTTCAGTACTCGGCTGCAAAAAGTAATAGATGATCATCATACTAGTGTTAAATGGACTACATGTCCCCATAATGTAGTGGTGAACTAGAATCAACAATTTTATATCAGGAATGATCCTTATGCTCTCTTTTTTTCCTTTGTTATTCATAGTGAAAAATAAACCCTTGGATGTATCAAAGAATTGCTTACCTTATGCCGGGGAACCTAACGTTATAAACATTTTTAACAGTAACAGAAGTCAGCTTTGCCACCTTCTCAAATATGTGCTTCCCATCCAAGTAGCTACTCCCAAAAGCTGTCCTGGAAATCACTTCAGTTGTTAATACCCCGAATTCTTTAAACACATCGATTTCTTTCCCTTCGTAGTTTTTCCACCTTTCTAGCATCACCTCAACGCTTTCACTCATTGCTGGAATCATACCCTGATTATATGACACCCCTTGTTATTATCAGCACAAGTTCAAGCAAATAACATCGATAGCAGATTAGTTATGGCAATAAATAGTCAGAAAGCTTACTTTCAAGCTCTCGGCATGGAAAGTGTGATTGGCCAGCTTCCGTATCTTAGCCCATTTCTCACCTTCATTTGTAATAAGTGCTTCTCCTAACAGTTTCTTTGCAATGCCTTCCATTTCCATTTTTGGATAAGCACCTTCTTTGTTGTTCATTATTTCTTTGATAAGCTCTGATTCCGTAACAAACAGTTGAGCTTTTGAACCGTGCCAACTGAGAAAATTCATCCCTATCACCCCACCAAAAAAAAAAAAAACAATTGAGAAGAGCAAGAAGCTTAAGTTTATTCACTCTCTTTAGCTGCTGAGTTTATCTTCATTTCTTAATTTATTTTGGTCAAAGGGTAAAACTATATACCAAACACCCTTCGTTCCCATTACTTTTAAGACATTCTATGGTTGTGGGAAGTCAAACAAAAAAGTCTATGATACGGAGTCTAACAGTCTGACAACTCTGACTGTTTTGATGTGAGTGGGGCCTGACGCCAAATCATTTGAGTCCGATAATCTAACAACTCCTACCATTGACGTTAGCCCCCCACACACAGCAAAACAGTCATAGTTATTCACTGTTGGACTCTAAAATGATTTTCCTAAACAAAATTTGTAAAAAAAAAAAATTCATACCATAGATCTTTGTCCATGCATGAACATGAGGCTGAATTCTTGGGAATATATCATGTGATATATGCATAGGTTTTCCCATGGATTGGCTTCTCATGTTGATGATATCTTTGGTGCTCCCATGGGGGAACTTGTAATGAGGTCCTCTGATCCCCTGTGAGCTCATTATTTTCTGTATACAAATTGGTTTCCACCATACTTTGTTTAGGAAACTAATGAGAGACCAGAGGAGGTACACACACACACAGCTTGAAAAGAGGGCTATAAAAATTTCTGTCACACCCATACTTCTATCCATTATGGTGTTTTACACATACCTCAGTGATCTCATATATATACTAGCAATCTAGGCATTGTAATGGGGATGAAATTGCACATACATGCACATATATGTGTGTGGTCCAGGAGGTGTAGGGTTGAGAATGCATATACATACACATATATATATGCGTGTGGTCCAGGAGTGGTCCAGGAGAATCCTGCTCTCCAGAGTCCAAAGTAGAAGACAATTATGTCTAGATTTCATTATTGGTTTCATTTGAAGATTTGTGAGATTAATCGAATATAAAATGGCAACTATTTTGCTGAAAGGAACTGCTAAGATAGGCTTCATTTTAGGATTTTGTTTTCAGCACAATCGTCTAACGACTTATCAGATATTATAGAGCCATGATGATGTGCTGAAAGGGATTAATTCACTAAAAATTTGAGAAATAATCTTTTGTGAATCTGAAGGTTATCCTTTATGACTATATGTGGCTTGTCATAACTCAGTCCAGAGGATCAATTTTATGCCTTGAAGAGGTACGGAGATACTGAAACTATACAATACGACATAATATGAAGAAGACGTACCAAAAATATGAAAAAGAGAAACATTACATAAATATAAGGCATATTCCATCACTTTCTGCAGAAATCACTATTCTCAAACTGAGACATTGATGTATAATTCCACAAGAAAAGCTTAACAAACATAAAAACACAAGCCAATGTTTACTATCTGTTTTCTCCACTCCTCCATGCACAATAATAGAATGAGCAATCAACAATAGCAGGACCCAGAACTTGCCATGCGCAATCAACAAAATTCTTAAAACTGATGGTTTTAGAATTATATTTTCGATTTCAAAATTAAATGAGTAACGTTACAAAAAAATAATAATACTTTGACTTTTTAAATTGAACATTTTATTTTGGAACAATCAAATATGAAAAAGTGGATGACATCGAGGGAATAGCATTTATTCTTCAAATTTTAATTTTTTTATATTTGAAAAAAATCATCTAATATAAAAGTGATTATAATTGTAATATACATTAAAGTTACAGATAAATACTCTCTCTCTCTCTCTCCCCCCTGAATTTTCAACACACATTCATTTAATCACTTTGAGAATCTTATTACTATCAGCTGGTTGGTGATTAAAAATATATTTCTATCCTCTGAACTTTGTAATTTATTAATATACTCTTGTGAGGCCATTTTTTTCAATTTAAGAGTCTGTATTTAACTGGTTCACTAAATGTTAATGGTTCAGGATTATTTAATAATTTCTCTAATCAAAGGCAATAATTGAACCTTAATTTTCCAATCCACATGTGCATCTATTTTTGTGAAAGTCTACCCATACTCCATTCTTAATAATTGAATGTGATAGTGGAATCCACATAATAGATAATTCAACAAATAAAATGATATAGGATACTGTAGACTTTTCCTTAATTTAATTCAAAACTAACAGCATATCCAATAGGAATCTGTAACTATTCTTATAAACAAACACAAGCCGAGAGACCCTAGTTTTAAGTTTCCACAACTTGATGGAACGACAACTCTGAGGCACTAGTGGTAGGGGGTGAGATTGAGATGTCACAGAGCTCAAAGACTCTTGCCTAGTCAAGTAAAGCAAAGACAACTGTAACAAGGGGGCGGAGCTAGAATTGCAAAGTAAGGGGGGTTAAAAATAATTAAACCCATGATTGTGTCATTCATGTTCTAAATACGGAATTCTCATACATTAGTCATTCAATTAAGCCTAATAATTTATAACCTTCTAACACATTTACACTTCCAAACACTAACGTATTTTCATAATCAAGAATCTACTCTGCTTCATACAAATATTAAAACAAACACCTGCCATAATGCAAAATAAATATGTTCTTTATCAACAAACTCACATTAGAAAGTAAGACATATGTGCTCCACCCTTGATTAGTTATTAAACTATTATATAATAAATTACCCAATTTAACAAGAAATCATCAAGTCATCAACACAACCCTTTTTTTTAAAAAAAAATTTACAAAAAAATAAAATCAATATTTCACTGTATTAACAATAATAATCCATGATATCTATTCACCTATACCTTAGTACCTTACACACGAAGAGTTTAGGTCTTTTTCCATAGACTAACAATGTGTTTGATTTATTGGGTTGGTCCCTGTTATGTTTTATTATGCTTTTTTTTGTGATTACGTATGTCCATGGTTCGTGGACTTTAAGGCTTAGCCTTTATAAATTTTATAACTCCTTTTATTTATAGAGATACTGTAAGGTTCCTAAATTTTGCCATTTTCCAATTTCTGGAATTTTTTAATTTTCGGGGGTATTTTGTCTTTTTCTCGTTTTATGTGCCGGACGGTCTCGGGTGGGACCCGCTACCGGGTTTGCTGCGTACGGGAATTTTAGTTGAGCCCATTTGCATCTCATGCATTTTATTTAAGGTGTTTTATATAGTATTTGTATGGTTGTGTGCAAATATGTATAAGTTGTGATAGAAAATTAAATGAAAAAGGTTTTTCATTAGCGATGGGACCCACCACTAACACTTATGTATGGCTTAGAGACCATTTTGGTCTCTCACTTTCTCTCTCCCCGTAACCCCTCTCTTCCTCTCACTTTTCTTCTCCTTTTATCTTTCTTTTGATTTTGAACTTCAAAGTTTGATTACTTCCTCAATTCTTGGAAATTTTGGGTGCCGTTTGTGGCAAATCGAAGAGCTCGGCGAGATCTTCAAGTTGATGTAAGTAATTGCAACTTTGGTGCATACTAGGAATTTCAAAAATTAGGGCTTTGATTTGGAGTTTTGGAGTTTTCATCTCCATTGAGGTAGGGGTGTTCTAATCCATGATTTCTTTTACTTTTGTGAGTTTTATAACTTGAATTGATGTCTAGCATGTTCAATTAGTATAAATTCTTGTAAAATTTGCTTAAATGATATGTATGGACTATATGTGACTAGTTGTTAGTTGTTTTATAGTATTTAAACATGCTTACATGAAGTTGAATCCATATCTTATATGCTTGTTATGCACAGTTGATGTTAAATAAGAACTTTAATTATGTAGATTAGAAAATTGCTTTATATAGCATGTGTGAGAGTTTTATGGTGGAATTGATGAATTAAAGTATGAAACATTCCATGCATTCATTGGGATAGAAAAAGGGGAAAAATGTTTTTAAGATAAATCAAATTGTTTTGGGAAAAGTTTTTTAAAAGTGTTTGCGAAAATCCGGACACCTAGGAGGCGCCTAATGGTCCGTGGTGTTAGTGTAGTCTAGAGGGGAGTATGGTTGAGCTAACCAGGCCGAATGTGATGCCTTGGAGGTGCCTTGTGATCGTGGATGGTTAGTCAATCATCCTTTCGTAACGCTTTGGAGGTGCCTTGGGTCGGATTACACTAATGGTTTGAAAGTAGAAATGGAAATGTTTTAGATATGGGGAGCGACAATTGCATGACATTGCACTTCATTAGAATATATGGTGTGTATGTGTTTGGGTGACCATTGTTATATACTTGTCACTGTAGTTGTTGTCATGTACCCCTATGCTATGATCCCGTTTTCTTTTATCTATTCCTTATGTGGATTCACGGGGTCATAAGAAGTGCTCACCCTATTATTTTAATATTTTCAGGTTCGGGAAAAGAAGTGGCGGACGACCATCCACCATAGCATTAGCTTGGATTAGGGGAATGTATATTTTGCTACCTTTTGTATTAGGCCTCATTTTGTAAGGTGTTGACCCAAATGTACCATTTTGTAGCATGTGAAATATTCAGGTTCATTTTGTATATGGCCATTGGGGAAATGTAATTATGCTTATTTACACTAAAACATTTAGTGTATCTCATGAAACGTGTTGTAAATTATGTGAATATTGTTGTTGTTGTTAATGTATTAGATGTTAAAATGTATTTAAATGTGTACGTGAGCGTAGTGGCGTGGGTGATTGGTTATCAATGTTGGTGTATCTCGGACAGTGATAAATTTCGAGTTTGGATAACCCAGAATCAGTCGACGTAAAATTCCCACACGTTGACCGGATGACCTGAGCCAATCGACGTGTAGCCTCCCACACGTCGACCAGTATCTTGGCAGTAGCTATTTCACTGTGCATGACCTGAACCAGTCGACGTGTAGCCTCCCGCACGTCAACCGGTATCTTGGCAATGAGCAATGTCACTGTGTGTGACCCAAACCAGTTGACATGTAATACGTACACGTTGACCGGTTCCTGTTCCATTCATTTTTTGTTTAGTTTCCCTAATTATCCTTTTATTCAAAGTTATGAGTATTTATTTTAGGACCCAATAAAATTCAATAATTATTTTCTTATCACAGAAAAGATTATATTGCCCCGAACTCTATCTTATTTATTAAGTGACATAAGTAAATGGCCATTATGCCCCTTTGAATCTCATACTATTAAACTTGTGGCAAATGACCATTTTGTCCTTGTTGGGTTTTAATATACAAATTTAACGTGAAAGGACTATATTACCCTTAGATGATTTTGGGTCGGATAAAGATCCTTTTAACGATCCGAACCCGGTGGATTTGGGTCGTTACAAATTTGGTATCAGAGCGATGGTTCGAATACCATTTGGACGACGGGTAGAGGCCTACCTAGGATTGCATGGGGAAATTGAATTGCATATTTATTTGCTTGGGTGCAAGGTGTATAATTATTTGAGAACCGTGCTTACTTGCTTAATTGTTTACCTATTTATGTAACTGCATGATAACTGTTAAAGTTGATATTTATGGTTAGCATGATTAGGCTCATTATCGGTTGGGTGTTATGGGAGTATGGAAAGTGTTTAAGTCTTAACATTCCTATAGAGTTTTTATGTGAGGACTCCGCTCTTTTGTGTATTTTAGTGTCATCGTTTTTGATCCGTTCTCTCGTTTTATAACATCATGCCACCACGAAGGGATCCCGGGGAAAGTTTTAGCTCCAATCCCGTAGAAAGGGATCAGGAGCAAGTTGAAGATGATATTTTGTTACGTGATTTGGTCCCACCAAGAGGGGGA